GTGCTCTGGGCGTCTGCACCTGGGTAGGGAGGAGGAGGAGGAGGAGGAGGAGGAGGAGGAGGAGGAGGAGGAGGAGCGACAGGCGTGGCCAGGGTGCCATGGCGGGGGGCAGGGAGGCAGGCGGGACGAGAGAGGGGATGGGGAGTCAGCGATTGCTGGAGGTGGGCGCGTAGGCAGGCAGGTCGGCAGTGCGGTTGGGAGGGAAAGATGCGCGGCACTCGCCTTGTTCCTCCCTCCTTACTCTCCTTATCCCTCCTCCTCATCCTCCCTCTTCCCTGCTCTTTCTCACTCTATCCCTCTTCTTTCTCTTCCTCCTTCTTCCTTGCTCCTGTTCCCTCTAATTCTCCCTCCCTCCCCTTCCTCTTGTTTCCTTCTCGATCCTTTCTCCCTCCCCCTCCCCCTCCCCCTCCCCCTCCCCCTCCCTCTATCCGTCGCCGTGCTCCCTACTCCTTTCTCCTTCCCTCGCGCCCCTCCCTCTGTCCGTCCCCATGCTCCCTCCTCCCTCTTCCTCCTCCCTCCTCTTCCCCCCTCGTGCTCTCGTGCTCTGGCGCTCCCGTCTCGAGGCCGCCACTGGCTGCACGCCCTGGGGGTCCTCGAGCACATGCAGGGCGCCGGTCTGGAGCCCGATTCGATCAGCTACAGTGCCACGATCAGTGCGTGCGAGGCCACGGGAGAGAGCGCAGCGGTGCAGGCTTGGGAGTATCAGAGGAGGGCGAGTTGAGACAACAGCCGTTGGCCGTCGGGGGCAACCTCGTCGCCACGGCTGGACGCAGCTCGGAAAAATTGTGCGCTTGGACCCCGGGAGGGGGTGTGATTCTCAACATTATCCCAGCGGGAACCGATCAGAAGTTTCTTTGTAGAGAAGGGGATTCGATGTGATGCAGTTTTCTCAACGCTAGGCTATGTGGTTCAAGCTAAGTGGTGCAAGCTGCGGAGTGCAAACTGTGCGGCGCAACTTGTGGAGTGCACGATATGTGGTGCAAGCTCGCTGCTTGGTGCAAGCAATAGGGTGCATTCTCTGTGGCGCAATCTCTGAGCCTGGGGGGGCGTGGCGGGAAAGGCGAGGACGAGGAGGAGGAGGAGTAGGATGAGGAGGGGGAGGAGGAGGAGCAGGAGGGACCTCTGCAGCTGCAGCTGCCCACAGGGAGCGCAGCTTCCCCATGCCTCCTCCAGTACTGCTCTACCGACGGCTACCGACGGCACTACCACCTCAGCTGGCTACCCCCCATTCCCAGCCTCCCACCACTCTAGCTTATCCAGCCCACGCGCTCACTGCCTCCATGGCAGCAACAGCGCCAGCTACCATGCGACACGACAGCGGCAGCTCCACTCTCCCATGATGGGGGAACAGCTCACTCCAACACCAGCAGCTTACCATGCCTTCTCCAGGGCACCTCCAGCCGGACGCTGCCAGCCTCCCGCGCCTACTTCCACAACCGCAGCTGCCGGTCCTACCAGTACCTCGCCTGCTACCACCTCGCCTACAGTCAACCCGCATAGTCAGGATGAGAAATTTCCCGAGGTTGCCCTTTCATTCTTCCCCTTCGGCCCATCCTTGGCCGCTTTCGCTGGCCGCGCCCCGCTCGCGAAGTGGCGACATGGCCTTCCAAGGCCCTTGCACCCTTATCGTGCGTACTTATTGTACGGGTTGACTGTACTCTCTGGTTGCCAGTGACACCCTCTACTACCACCTCCTAAGGCACCTCCAGGCATGCCCGAACCTTCCCCGTCCTCCCCTCGAACGGATCTGTTCGACTTCAGTTCGACTTCAGTTCGACTCCAATTCGACTCGGGTTCGACTCAGGTTCCACTCAGGTTCGACTCGAGTCGACGGACGTCCGACGCAGCTTTGACGCACGAGTGGAGCGAGTGGCTTCAAGAAGGTCCCCAGAGCATCTAAGCCTCATCCCACCGCGGCGGTCCGCCGCCCTTGGGAGAGGGAGTGGGGTGGTGATGCAGGGACGTGGACAGGGACAGGGCCACTCGACGGCACAGGCAGCCCTGCATACAAGCATGGCGGCGGTGGACCACTTGTGGTCCAGAAACTGATAGCCGTGCCGAGGGTTCCCGCACGCCCCCACCTCGAGGAGGGCGGGTCCCGCTCGGGCCACGCTTCCGCATCTACGGGCCCACGGTTGCCCACCTCTTGCCGCACCACACCGCCGCGCCACACCTCATCACACCTTTGTCGCAGCCAGCGCGCCCAGGCTCGCTACCCCCCCGCCCCCCGCCCTGCGTGATCGCTCCGGGCCTCAGCCTCCCAAGGGTCTGGGGCCCGCGCTCGTGCCCCGCCTGCACGCGCACTGCCACACCGCGCCTCAGGCAGCATACCCCCGCTCCCCTCCTCTCCCTGGCCCCTAGGGGTTCATCCGTTCTCGCCGTTCGTTCGTTCCTTCTCGTCTCTCCTTACCCCTTGGTTCTGTTGCCCCTCCTGCTGGCGCTCTGGTGGGAGGGCTTCGGGGGCCGCACCCAGTGGGGCAAAGGTCCTCAGGGGCGAAGGGCGGAGGGCGGCGGGGGGCGAGAGAGAGTATCCCCGGGGGCCCCCCTCGTGCGCGCCTGGCGGCCTTGGCGGAAGTGGTCTCCCCCCGTCTCGCGGCGGGAGCTCGCGGGTCGGACCCCCCCCGGGGGGCGGGGCGGGGAGGGGCCACGGGGCACGGGGGGCCGGGCGAGGGGCGCGCCTCTGAGGCGGCCGTCGCCTCTGGGCGGCTCGCCCCCCCAGCTGGCCTCTGGGTGGCCTCCCGCAGGGGGGCCTCGGGCTGAGCCCCCCCCCTTTAGGAGCAGGCAGTCCCGTCCCCGGGAGCAGGCTGTCCCGTCCCCTGCTCAGTGGTGGAGAACTCTGGCTTTGGAGCCGGCTGGGGGTCTGAGGTGGCGGCCCTGCACTCGCTGCTCCCGGCCAGCAGGAGGGGGGTGGGGAGGGGCGGCGAGGTTCGAGGTGCTGGGTTCGATGAGGTATGTTGTCCTGTTCGGCCTCCCCTGGGGCCGTTTTCGGGCCCCAGGGCCTTCAAACACGGAGCTGGTGTGGAAAGGCTGCACCACGTGGGCCCTGGGAGGTGTCTGGGGACAAGTTCTGAGTAGATCTGCCTTCATCCTTTCGTCTTGACAGATGCTCTCGGGGCCCGTCCAGCGCAGACCGCTTGGCCGCCTCCACGTCTCGCCGTCTCCCAGGCGGCGCGACATTGCCTCCTAGAAGACCCCAAGATGGCTCTCGGATGGCCTCAGGCTGCCCCCAAGACGGCGCAACATTGGCCCAAGTTGGTGTGCCTCCTGCAGGGCTCCTGGAAGGGCCCAAGATAGCTCCTGCATTGCCCCGAGCTGGTGTGCTTCCAGCACTGCTCCTAGACGGCCCCAAGGTAGTTCTCGGACAGCCTCAGGCTGTCTCCCGGACGGCACAACATTGCCCCGTGCTGGTGTGCCTCCAGCATGGCTCCTAGACGGCTCCAAGATCGCCTCCTAGACGGCCCCAAGATCGCTGAGGTGCCCCACCCCCCTGCAGAGGATGCCACTCGTCTTTAACCGTTTATTGTAGCGGGGTGGCGAGGCGGAGGAGAAGGTAGAGGAAGAGAAATAGGGAGGAGTAGAAAGTAGATTGGAGGAGGGATGAGGAGGAGAAGGATGAGGAGGGGGAGGAGGGGTGGAGGATGATGATGAGGATGAGGAGGGACGAGTGAGGAGGAGGAGGATGATGAGGAGGAGGAAGAGGAGGAGGAGTGGGAGGAGGAGGAGGAGGATGAGGGGGAGGAGGAGGAGGAGGGGGAGGAGGAGGAGGAGGAGGAGGAGGAGGAGATAGGAGCGACAATGGAGGGTGAAGGTTTGTGAAGGGGGGGAGGGAGGAGGGACGAGGGAGGAGGGAGGAGAGGAAAAAGGCAGAATGGGGAGAGTGGAGGAGGGAGGAGGAGAGGAAGATGGGGGAGGGTAGGAGGGATAAGGGATAAAGGATGGGGAATGAGAGAGCGGCAAGTGGGGAAGAGCGACAATCGAGGATGCATGGGGAGGGGGATGAGGAGTGGGGGGGATTTGGGCGAGGCGGGCAGGGAGGAGGAAGAAGAGGACGGATGAGGATGGGATGGAGGAGGAGGAGGAGCGGAGGAGGAGGAGAAATCAGAGAAGGACCAGGGGGGGACGAGTAGGTTCTCAATCAGATGATCTATGACGCGAGACTGACGGTGAATTGGCAGACAGTCAGAGAGGAGATGGTAAGAGTGCCTTCTGACCGTATCTCACATTGTGGGCGTATCTGGGGCTAACCGGGGATGGTGACGCGCACCATTTCTGGGTGTTTAGTATCCGGTGCGACAGACAGCCAGACCATTTCTGTTATGAGGTGATCTCGATTTGATGGCGTTTGTGTGTTTGTGTGGTTGTTTATGTGTGCGCGCGCTGCATGCGAGGCGGGTTCGCGGTGGGACCTGACGCTGGGCTTTCTCAGGCGCATGCGGCAGGGCGGCTTCACGGTCGACCCGATGACACACGCTGCGTGCATCTGCGCCGCAGGCAAGCGGCACCGCTGGAGGGAGGTGGTCATGCTCTTCGAGCAGGCCCAGGGCAGCGGGCTGCCGCTCCGCGGCGTGGCGCGCGGCATGGTGCTCACGGCCCTCGAGAGGGGCGGCCGCCGCGCCGAGGCCAGAGAGCTACTGGAAGTTGTTGATGATGCTGGTAATGAGCAAGATGGTGGTGGTGATGCTGATGCTGGTGGTGGTGGCGATTCTGAGCATGACGAGGACGATGACGAGGATGACGATGACGATGATGAGGATGATGCTGCTGCGGAGGAGGATGATGCTTATGCTGATGGTGATGATGGCGCTGCGTTAGACAATGATGACGATGCGCATGATGGTGATGATGATAAGAATAATGATGATGATGATGATGATGATGATGATGCTGATGATGATGATGATGATGATGATGATGATGCTGATGCTGATGATGATGATGATGATGATGATGCTTATGATGATGGTGATGGTGATGATACTGTTGATGATGATGACGATGATGGTCATGATGCTGCTGGACGGTTATTACGATGGCGATGATACCGATGATGATGATGGTGATGTTGGTGCTGATTCTTTTGATAATATTGATGATGCTGATGATGATGATGATCGTGATGATGTTGCTGATGCTGCTGATGCTGCTGTTGATGATGATGCTGACGCTGATGCTGATGCTGATTTGATGAGAAGGATGGGGAGGACGATGAGTCTGAGGAGGAGGAGGAGGATGAGGACGATGATTCTGAGGAGGATAGGTGTGAGGATGATGAGGAGGAGATGATGCTGATGATGACGATGGTGATGATGACGATGCTTATGATGATGCTGATGCTGACGGTGATTGTGATGATAATGATGCTGATGGTGATGCTGCTGTTGATGATGATCATGATGTTGATGATGTTGAGGATGATGACGATGACACCGCTGTTGTGAGTGGATGAGGATGATGAGGCTGCTGCTGTTGCTGATGATGCTGCTGATGTTGTTGATGACAAGGGGGAGGAGGAGGAGGGGGAGAAGGAAACGGCAAAGGAGGAGGATGAGGATGGGGGGCGAGGAGGATGATGGTAAAAATGAGGATGACCAGGAGGAGATGTATGATGATTCTGATGAGGGCGGCGGTGGTGCTGCTGCTGCTGATGATGATGATGCTGCTGATGGTGATAATGATGCTGTTGATGCCCATGATGATGCTGATGCTGATGACGATGCTGATGATGGTGGTTGTGATGATGATGGTGGTGGTGATGATGCTAATGATGCTGCTGCTGCTGATGCTGCTGATGCTGCTGATGATGATAATGATGCTGTTGATGCCCATGATGATGATGCTGATGCTGATGACGATGCTGATGATGGTGGTTGTGATGATAATGGTGGTGGTGATGATGCTAATGATGCTGCTGCTGATGATGCCGATGAGGAAGATCAGGGTGATGATGATGCTGATGCGGATGATGATGCTGCTGATGAGTATGCTGATGGTGATGATGGTGATACTGATGCTTGTGATGATGACGGTGATGTTTATGATGATGGTGATGATGAAGATTATGATGCTGATGTTGTTGTTGATGATGCTGATTGTGATGGTAATGGTGATGGTGATGATGATGGTGATGATGATGATGATGCAAATGATGATGATGATGATGATGATGATGATGATGATGCTGCTGATGATGATGATGGTGATGATGATGGTGGTGGTGATGATGATGATGATGCTGCGCTGCTGCTGCTGATTATGGTGGTGATGATGATGATGATGATGATGTTCATGATGATGATGATGATGATGATGATGATGATGATGATGATGATGATGATGATGATGATGATGATGATGATGATGATGATGATGAGGCCAGGGCGCTGGTGGACGAGGTGCTGGCGAGCGAGCCGCCCGCGGAGGCCGCCGAGCTCGCCGCGGCGGTCAACGGGTGCCGCAGCTGCAGCAGGTCTTGGCATCGCTCGGACGTGTGCATTTTTTTCTCGGCGAGAACCATCGAGGACCATCCTGGACCATCGAGCAAACAAAAACACGTACGAAACCGAAAGGTGCGCGGGAAGTGGACGTCCGAGCGACGGCACGAGGTGGGACTGGGCGCTCGGGCTGCTGGGGGGGCTGCGCCGGGCGTGGCCGTCGGACACGGTGGCGCTGAGGTCGAGCAGCGGCGAAGCGTCCCGGCGTGCCTATAGCCCCGCCAATGCTCTATGACCCTTTCGTGGATCCCACGAAATGTTCTTAGAGCATTTCTGGCGGATATTGTCTTGTTTTAACACATGGGGTTTATGTTCTAAGAACATTCTTTTTGTTATTAGAACATGTTGGGGTGCTAAGAACATGTCGTGGTAGGACTATAGGAATGCCGGGACGGTCGGTCCCTGCTCAATGAGGGCCGCGTTTAACTCGACCATGGGGGCCTGCGACATGGCGAAGCAGTGGGAGACGGCGCTCCAGGGAGGAGCCTGTACAGTCGAAACCGATGAGGAGGACGGGTGGCCTTCCCAAGGGTACCCTTGCATCCTTGTCTCATCGATCTATCTTTGACTACTTTCGATGCCCAGCCCCGCTCGATAAAGCTTCAACACGCGCGTCCAAGGGGCTTGCATTCTTATCGCGCATCCTAACTACCAGTCGACCCTGCCAGATCAAGGCTGCCCTTGTGTCCTGTGTTTCGCGACCCATGCCTTCTAAAGTCCTATGGCAATGTGGCCCTCGGAAGGGTCCTGTGTCCTCTCGCGTGCTCTCTCCAATCAGCCTCGACTGTTCTGATACCGCTGCTTGTTCTGGAGGGCCCTCGTCACCACGGCTGGATTCAGATCGAAATTCTGGTCAGAACGCACCCCGGGAGAGGTCCCGGGAGTTGCGGTGTTGGTATTTTTTTGTCTTCCCTCCATCAGGCGCTGGAGTTGCTTGCGGACATGCAGGGGGCGAGCCTAGCCATGTGTAAGAGTTCCTACGAGATGGCGATCGCGTCGTACGCGAAGAAGGGGGACTGGTCGGCATCGACCGCCCTGCTCAGGGAGATGCAAGAGAGGCGGTTGCCCCCAGACGCGTACTCCTACAATTGCGCCATCAGCTTGCTCAACAGGCTGAGGATGTGGCAGCGGGCCTCGGAGCTGTTCCAGGAGATGCGGGACGCGAGCGCGAGGCCGAACGTGATCACCTTCAGCGTCATGATCAGCGCCTACGAGAAGGGCAGGCGCTGGCAGATGGCCGTCGGGCTGCTCCAGGAGATGAAGCAGGAGGCCGCCACCCCGAACCAGGTCACCTACAACTCCCTGCTGAGCGCGTGCGACAAGGGCGAGCAGTGCGCCCTGGCGCTGCGGCTCTTCCTCGAGATGAAGGACCTCGGCCTGGCGCCCGACGTCGTGACCTACGGCGCCATGACCAGCGCCTGTGCCAAGGCTGGGCTGTGGCAGTGGGCGCTGGCGCTGCTGGCGGAGATGGTGCAGCGGGGCATCCAGCCGAGCGTCGTCTCGTACACCGCGGCGGTGAGCGCCTGCACCACCGCCAGCCAGTGGCCCGTCGCCGTGGCGCTGCTGCAGGGGGCGGGCACGGCCGGCGTGGAGCCGAACGTCATCACCTTCAGCGCGGCCATCGCGGCGTGCGACAAGGGCGGTCAGGAAGCGCATTTTGCCGGGAGTTGTGCTCCTCGCTCTCCTCGCCTCCTCCCCCCACTCCGCTCCTCCTCGTCGTCCTCCTCCTCCTCCTTCTCCTCCTCCTCTTCCCTCTTCTCATCCTCGCCGCGTTCCTCGTCTTCCTCAAGCAGTGGCGAAGCGTCCTGGCTCGCCTATAGGCTTACAACATAATATTACAAGGACCTGTTGTGGTCTGCGCGGAATGTTCGTAGAACATTTCTGGCTGGGACCGTCTTGTTCTAACACATCGGGCTTATGTTATAATAACGTTGTGCTTGTTCTGAGAACATTCTCTGGGTTCTGAGAACATTTCGCGGTAGGCCTATAGAGATGCCAGGGCGGTCGGTCAGTGCTCAATTTCCCCCTCACTGCCTCGTCCCTCTCCCCCCTCCTCCTGTTTCTCCTCCTCCTCCTCCTCCTTCTCCTCCTCGCTCTTCCCAACCAAAACCCTGCCGCACACGCGGCCACTCTCATGGGCCATGGGTGGGGTGGGGGGGGGGGGCAGGAAGAGTCCAGCCAGACCCCCACCATGCTCCAAGAGACGATCCAGATCTTTCCCCGCCTCATCCTCCCTCACCCACTCCTTCTCCTCCTCTGCACCTCCCTCCTCCTCCTGCTCCTCGTCGTCGTCGTCGTCCTCCTCCTCCTCCTCCCTCTGCTGGCCCAGCCTGGGCCCCAGGATGGCTCGAGGGCAGCCCTTCGACAGGATCGCGCGCAGGCACGGTTCGGACCCTGCCCGGCTCCGGCTTGCAGCGGAGTCGGGCCGAGCCCCAGTGGCCTCCCGTCGGGAAGGTGGACGAGTAGCTTGGGCCGCGGAGGGGAGAAGGAGGGAGGAGGAGGAGGGCAGCCAGGAGGAGGAGGAGGGAGGAGGAGGAGGAGGGAGGAGGGAGGAGGAGGAGGAGGAGGAGGAGAGGAGGAGGAGGAGGAGGAGGAGGAGGAGGAGGGAGGAGGGAGGAGGAGGAGGGCAGCCAGGCCAGAAGTGTCACCACTGGTGGCAACTCTTGAGGGCCTGGCCTGAGGCCAGGCCCTGAAGAGGCCTGGCCCAGGCGGTGGCCGACGAGGGGCCCTGGACCATGACCGCAACGCCTGGGAGTCCCTCCTGGGTGGAGGGGTTGGGTACTCACTCGGGCGCCTCCGGGCCTGACCAGGGAGCGCGGTACGTAGGGAGGGAGGAGGAGGGAGGAGAAGGAGGAGGATAAGGATAAGGGCGAAGGAGAAAGAGGGAGCGATAATATAGAGATGAGGAGGAGGAGGAGGAGGAGGAGGAGGAGGAGGAGGAGGAGGAGGAGGAGGAGGACAAGGACGAGGATGATGAGGAGAGGGAGGAGGGGTGACGATGGAGGAGGATGAGAAACGGAAGGGGGAAGGGAGAATGAGGGACGATGATGACGATGGGGATGAGCATGTTGATGGTGATGAGGCTACGGATGATGATGATGCTGATGATGATGATGGTGATGATGAAGATGGTAATTATGGCTATGATCATGAAGATGACCATGGTGCTGATGCTGAGGATGGTGGGGATGCTGATTGCGATGATGATGACGATGCGAAGGATCGGGATGATGACGACGATGAAGCTGATGATGATGCTGATGTTGCTGATGATGCTGATGGTGATGATGGCAATGCTGACGCTGATGCTACTGACGGTCATGATGATGATGACGACGATGCTAATCAGGATCATGCTTATGCTGATGATGATGAAGCCTCTGATGATGCTGCTGCTGGTGCTGGCGCTGCTGATGCGTATGGTGATATCGAGAATGATGTTGTTGTCGATGATGATGCTGATGCTGCTGCTGCTCATGATGACGATGACGATGTTGCTGGTGATTATGATGAAGATGGCACTGGTGGTGATGCTGATGAGGATGATGCTGTTGATGCTGATGCTGATGCTGCTGCTGATGATGATCACGGTACTGATGTGGATGATGTTGTTGCTGCTGATGATGCTTATGATGGGGATGCTGCTGATGATGCTGAGGTTGTTGCTGCTGATGATGACGATGCCGTTGCTGATGCTGATGCTTTTGCTGATGATGATGACGACAATGATGATGATGCCGATGCTGATGCTCATGCTGGTGATGACGACGATGCTGCTGCTGCTGACGATGATGATGGTGGTGCTGGACGTGCTGATAATGATACTGATACTGGCGATGATGATGATGATGATGATGATGATGATGATGATGATGATGATGGTGATGCTGATGATGATGACGACGGTGTTGCTGATGCTGATGACGATGGTAGTAATGGTGATGCTCGTGATGACGATGGCGATGACGGTGATGATGATGTTGATGCTGTTGATGATAATGATGATGATGATGATGATGATGATGATGATGATGATGATGATGATGATGACGGTGGTAATACTAATGATGGAGGTAATACTGATGATGATGCTGATGATGCTGATGCTGATGATGCTGATTATGGTGATGATAGTTGTGGTGATGGTGGTGATGGTGGTGATGATGCTGAGGAGGAGAAAGAGGAGGAGGGTGATCGCAACAACGCGAGTGGGCCTGCCCGCCCTCGGCGCCCAAGCAAAACAAAACGGGGCCCTCAGTGGGACTGGGCGCTCGCGCTGTTCCACGAGATGCGGCAGAAAGGAGGGGTCACCGTCCCTGCTGTTGGATCACGTGCCTCCCGATGAGATATGAAATCGGCATGCGGTCGGGAACTTTTGGACGCGTTCAACCCCCATAGTCAGGATGAACCACTTTCCAAGGTTACCCATGCATCCTTCCCTTTCGGCCCATCCTTGGCCGCTTTCGCTGGCCGCGCCCCGCTTGCAAAATTTCGACATGGCCTTCCAAGGCCCTTGCATCCTTAGCGTGCGTCCTTATTGTACGGGATGACTGTAGCGTGTCGCTCCACCAGTTCTGGACCTCCGCGCTTCGGCGCGACACGTTATCCACGTCGCATGTCCTCAGGCGTCAACCTCCCGAGCTCCTGATATCCTCCCACCCTGCGGAGCGGAGCGACACGCTATCCGCATGCCAGGTAGCGCATCGCCAGGGCCGCCGCCGCGACACGCTAAGCAACTCGTCGCTGGATCCCCCCTTGGCGGCGAGGATCCAGGAAGTCCGTGCGGACCTCCGACAGCTCATGTGTTCTGTTGGTTTTGATCCCTTCCTCCTGTGCGGGGCGGACCAGACTGCCCCCGTGCAGGGCCCATTTCGATCCGATCGATCTGGTTTGGTGTTGGGTCCGGCCGGCCCGATCCAGATTGGTTCCGGTATTCCAGCGATCCGATGCGGCCAGGTGCTTTTCATGACGCTGTTTGTGCATCTCGGCCTAGCTGATCCGAGTTGATTTCAACTCCGTGCCGATGCGGCCCGATGCGACGCACGGTCTGATTCGGCCCGGTTTTCCCGATCCGATGCTGACGGATCTTGCTATGCTTCTGTCGCGTCCATCCTGCGCCGTCTTCCCCATAAGTCGGAATATCCGCGACAGGCAACCCAGATTAGTTTGCTTGGCGATGGTGTCTTCGCATGGACATTGTTTGGAGGGGCGCCCTTTCTTATCCCTCCTCCTTTCCTCCGTTCTTCTCCTTCTCCTCCCCTCCTCCTACTCCATCTTCCTCCTCCTTCTCCCCTGCCTTCTCTTTCCCCGTCCTCCCAATACCTCTCGTCCCAAGCTTTCTCCCTCCTCCACCTCCTCTTCGTCCTCCCTGCTCCTGGGCCTTCTCTCCGTCCTCCCCTCTCGTGGGCATAACAGGTGGTCACTCGGTTCCGTTGGCTGGCCAAGACGGATGGGGTGGCCCTGTCCCAGAACCGTGCGCAGGTGGTCCATGTTAAAGGTTCGAAGCTGGCCCTGGCACCCTCCGAGCACACTGCCCCTTGCCCACTCTCTCGTCGCCCTCCTGCTGCTGCTCCCTCTCTGCCCTTTGCATCCCTTGCCTGCTCAACCCCCACCGCTGGAGCTTCCGACTGCGCTGCGGCGCCGCCGCGGTTGCCTTATATAACGCGGGCGCGCCCACGGGCCGTGCACCCCCCCGGCAATCCCTACAGCCAAGACGCTGGGGAGACAGGGACCACTTTTGGGCTCGGGTTGGGCTCTGGTCTTGGGGGAGCTCCCGGGAGGTCTCGGCCCCCCTTTACCCCGGGGTCGGCCTGTCATGCCGAGCCTTGGGCGTCGCCTAACATCGGGGGCGGAAAAAAGGGGGTGATGACTAGAGGGGGGGTGGATATCATGGCGGGGGCCATGATGTTTCCTCGGATTTCATGGCGCCTCTTCTTGTTTCATTACGTCCCCAGCCCCCCCCTTGGGCCGCGCACACGCCGCCGGTCATGATTTGCACCCCCCCCTCTTGGACACCCCCCTCTGGGCCGCTCCCGATAACAGGGGGGGGGGGGGGGGCGATATACATGGGGGGGGGTACGAGTGGTGCACTGGTCAGGCCCCGAGCGCCCCCTGTTGGGCCCCAAACGGCCCCTTCAGGGGACGTAGGAAGGGGGCCTCTTTGCTTCAGCGCGCGCTGCCCCCCCCCATTGAAGCGGCGACGCCCAGGAGTCGTCCCGTGACAGGCCTGGGGCCCGGGACCAGCCTCTTAGAGAGAGAGAGAGAGAGAGAGAGAACGAGGCCCAGAGCGGCGAAGCACCGCCCTCTCGTTTTGGTCTTGGTTCGACCCGACGGCTGTCGGGGACACTGCACGGTGCACCACAGGTCCTGCTCCCTCGAAGTCGCCGCGCCCCCGACCTCTCCTGGATCGCGCTCTTATCAGGATCCCGAGGCGGATCCAGCCGTGGCGACGAGGGCCTCCCTGGAGGCCGCAGACATGCGCCGAACCGTCCAATGCCCCCCCCCCTCTCGGCTATTGACCCTTCGCCAGAGTGACCCTTCGCCAGAGTGACCTTTGGTGCGCGGCTTTCGGGGGGGCGCAAGGGCGGAAGGGGGGATGGGCAAATCCAAGCGCGCAGACGCAACTGCCGCATAGCACGCAACGATGACCAAGCCGCGCATCAAAGGTCTAGGCCTCCCAGATGGGGGTCGGACTAGATGGGGCCCGAGCATCGTGCCGCATCGCCGATGCATCGGCGATGCGGCTCGATGTGGAGCCCGATTTTCTCCATGCCAACCGCGTCGATGTATCGCCAGCGTCGCTGACGCATCGCCGATGCATCGGCGATGCATGTGCGGTGCGGCGTGGTCCTCGGACCCCATCTGCTCGGGCATGAGTTGGAAGCCCCTGTTGCAACGATAGGCCAGCCGCGCACCAGAGATCAATCGTGCGGTGGGCTGCCTGCAGCCAGCTCCTCTCTGGAGGGCCCGCCGGGAGGCGTCGAGCCGAACGAGGCCACGTACAGCAGCGTGATCCTCGCCTGCGCGCGCGCGGGGGAGTGGCAGTGGGCGGCGTCGCTGCTGGAGGAGACTGGGCGGGGGCCCCCAGACTGTGCGGTGACCACGCCGCGTGGTGTATCGGTGGGCGATCCGGTGTCGTCGCGCGGGTTGGGAGCTCGAGTCGTTCTCCGAGGACGTCTCGAGCGACCGGGGCCTCCGAGGTCCCAAGACCGTGCGGCGACGGACCGCGCGGGGAGGGTGCCGTGGCTCCCGCCGTCGCCTCGCGGCCCGTCACCACACGGTCTGTCGAGCCCCGCGGCTGGGCCAGCGGGGACGGCGACGGGCGGCCCGGCGTGGCCGTTCCTCGGCCGCGCGTGCCCTCGCGGCGAGGGGCCCCGGGCGCGCGGCCCCCTCGGGGGGAGACCGCCGGGGCCCGGGCGCGCAGGCCGCATGCGGTCGCAGCGCGGGGGGCGGTCGGCCGGCCGCGCGGCAGAGAGCCCGCCCGGGGCCTGGGTGAAGTCGGGCGCGCCCACCTGCAGGGGGATGTTGGGCGAAAAAGGTACTCAAAAACTACCCCCGAAATGCCCAGAAATAGTCGAAACATCGTCCCCACACTTCAAGCAGTGGCGAAGCGTCCCGGCTCGCCTATAGCCCCACCTAACAATGTTCTAAGAACCTTTTTGTGGTTCCTACGAAATGTTTTTAGAACGGACTATAGGAATGCCTGGACGGTCGGTCCCTGCTCAAAAGGTATGTTTTTACTACTTTTGAATATGCCCCTGGTAGAGGGACGCGCCCGACTCCAGGCCTGGGGTCCCCCGTGCGCGTGCGCGGTGCGGGCCCGTGCCGCGCGGGCCTCGCGAGGGCCTCGGGGGGGCAACGGGCGGCAGGGGGGTGGGGCGGCCCGCCGCGGGCGGGCTCGCCGCGGAGGCGCGGCCGGGGGGCGCTCCGGTCGGGGGTGGACAGACCTCCTACCCTGACACGTCGATTGAGGAATTGGCCGTCTTCGGTTCGCGAGGGGGCGTCGCGGCTGTCGTTTTTGCGGGCCCAGGTCCGTCGGTTTCGGTCCCAGGCAGTTTTCACCAAAGGGAGGTTTACTTTAAGGGAGGTGTGTCCAAAGCCGATCCAGAGCAGGCCCGGAAGCGTGGAGCAGCGGGGGTCTCAGCTGCTTCGGTGCGCACGTTTTGACACGCAGCACGTGCCGTGCTCAGAAGGTCCGTGCCGATGCGTGGCGTGTCGGCCCAACGTATCGGCCCACGCTTTGGCGAATGTATCGCGTCAGACCAACGTTTTCAGGGTACGTGTTTGGCTCCGTATCAGTAAGCTACGTGTTGCGTGTTGCGTATCGGGGCGGCTAAGGTGGGGGTGCGACAGATGTGGGGTGAACATCCTGGGCCACCGAGCAAAAAAAACGCACGAAACCGAAACATGCACGGGTAATGGACGTCCTAGCGACGGCGAGTTCATGAACGCTCGAGGCGTGAGGGCCGGGGAGGTGGCCCAGGCGTTCCGGGGCGACGCAGGCCTCTGAGGGCGGGGTGTGCCTCCCAGGCCCTAGGAGACCAGCAGAAACGCCCCGCGACGGAGACCTGGCCCCAGGGGTGTGGTCGCGGGTGTAGATCTCGGGAGCCTTGAGGCGGAACCCAGTGCGAACGGGGGTCAGCCAGAGCGCTGGATCCTACAGGACCCTGGAAAGCCAGGGTTGCATTTATTCAGGTTTGCGCGCAGGATCCTGCAGGATCCTGCGAAGCCAGACTGACCTGGGTTTGCATTGGACCGGGTCAGCAGACGCCCGAAGATCACGACGTCGGTTTTGTTGCTTCGTGCCTGGGATCTGCTGGCGTCGAGCCGCGTCCTCATTCCGCTCATCCGCCTGCGTCTCCTCCATCGTCCTTCTCGCGGGGTCCTTCCCAAAGCCTCCCATTCCTTCCTGCCGCCACCCATCTTGCGAGTAGGAAGAGGAGGGGGATAGGCGGAGGAGGAGCAGCAGCAGGGGGATGGCATGACCCTCCCCGCCCTCGTCCCTCCTCTCCTGACCCCCTCCCCTCCTTCTGATCCACCTCCTGCGTCTGCTCTGCTTCTCCTGCCTCTGTGTTTTTTCTGTGTTTTTCTCCACCTCTTTTCCTCAAAGATACCTCCTCCCTGTCTAACCCCCAGGCGTGTCCGTAGGGCGGGCTAGGCGTTTCGCCTGAGACTTCCTCACCATGTATGGTGCTGAAGCTTGAAACTTGTCAAGTGTTCAAGGATGGAGGGCGGCTGATTTTCAACATATGGCTGTCGCTTGAGTGCCACGCACATTCCTTTTTAAACGTCTGCAGCAGTTTCATTGGTGGGAGGCGGGTTGCTTCCAAACAGTGGCTCTCGGTGTAGCGCCGCGCACGCTCATTTGAAAACCTTTGCACCATCCTTGACGGTTCCTTTTCAAACTGTGGTTCTCGCCTTAGCGCCGCGCACGTTCCTTCAAAACGCTTGCAACAGTTTCAAGGATGGAGGGCGGTTCCTTTTCAAACTGTGATTCTCGCCACAGCGTCGCGCACATTCGCTTTACAAGCTTGCAGCAGTGTCAATGGTTCATATGGTTGAAGTTCTGGAATTGTGTTCTGGCACGGTTTAGGAGTTTCAGATCGCAACAGTATTTTTGTTTCGCGCTGCTGAGTTCCTAAGAGTGTATTATGGCACGGTTGAGGGATGTCAGGACGCAGCAGTTGCGTTGATTCGCGGCGTTGGAGTCTCAGTAGTTGTGTGTTCGGCACGATTGAACATTCTCAGACGGTTGTCGTCGAGTGAGGCATCTCCCGCAATGGAGCAAGTTTTGGTGGGACCGAGGACACGGGAGCTTGGAGGGAGGGTTATTGCAACAATGTTGATGCGTCTTTGTTTTGCACTGGTCCTCCTCCTCGTCCTCGTCCTCGTCCTCCTCCTCCTCCTCCTTTCCCTCCTCCTCGTGACGAGTCGAGAGGGGAGGGCGTCATGGATGTGGGCATCCAGATCGCCCAGTTGGACTCGCAGATCGCCCAGCACTCCAAGCCTGAGATCTCGGATATCTCCGAGGAGTTTTGCGAGCGCCTCGAGCAGCAGCGATTGGAGGTCGTGGCGCGGCAGCGCGCTTCCAAGCCCATTGGAGCGTAGGTCCTACGGCTGTCTCGCGAGTGTGAGAAGGTGGGCAAGGCCGTGGCCAAGATGGAGTCAGACTTGGGGGTCAAGCGCAAGCAGCTCGACGAGTTGGAGTCCTCCATCCAGACGGGCCAGGGTCTGCTACAGGACAAGTGGCGCGAGCACCTGGAGCTCCAGGCGCGGCTGGACGAGGTGCAACGGAAGGTCGCGCTGGCACCCGCGCCGAAGTGCGAGGCTGGGCTCCCGCATGGCCAACACGAGATCCATCCAGGGCCTGGGGCTCACGGTCGACGTGCTGGAGGCCTGCATCAAGGAGCTTCGTGGGAGGCGAGGAGCTGTTTGCGACCGTGGCCCGTGCGTTGCAGGCCAAGCAGCAGGAGGCCGCGGGTGCCGGAGGCGATGCGGCTCGCGGGGCGTCGCCTGCGCTGCAGCCTGCGGCGAGGCCAGCAGTGCCCGCCCAGGTCGAGGAGCGTGCTGGCGGGCAGGCCGCCAGTGGCGAAGCGACACGGGAGGGGCTGCTGCGACCGCTGTGGAGCCCACCGTCGCCGAGGTGCGGGTGCTCCTCGGCCGGCCGGGCATTGAGGCCCCTGCCGACGATGAGCAGGTCTGCGTGCAGGTCCGGGCGATGCACCTCGCCGTCGCCGCCCTCGGCCCCAGGGCTTTCGGGCACAAGGCGTCCGGCCGAGTTTCCTCAGCCTTCAAGCCATCGCAGGCGAGTGGGAGGCTTTGTCAATACCTTGCGCTGTCTGATCTTTGTCATCATGATGATGCCCAGTGTCAGTGAATGCCATGGTCGGGGTGATCTGCTGGCCGTGGAAACGTCGCCGGCCCTGGCGGCGCAGCCTGAACCCCCTGGCGAGCTCGACGCGGCTCCTGGCGGCCGCTGCGGCCTTGGCGGCGCTCTCGGCGGCTCCGCCAGCATACCCAGCGGCTCCAGTCGCGTTTCAGGCGGCCTCCGAGGGGCGCCCCGGCGAATTTGCGCCGAGATTTTCGTTGGAACAAGTCGGCTGCTTCCTCAGCAGCGGCACTCGCGCCGAGCGCCCACGTGCGGGATGGGGCCAATTGCCGCGCGAGCGGGGCGCCGCCGCCAGCGGCCTCCCCGACGGAAGCGGCGGCCTCGCCAGCCTCCCGGGGGCCCCGCCTGGCGGCTCCCCTAGCGGCCCCGGCGGCCCTGGCAGCCTCCGCAGCAGCGACGCCCGCGCCCGCGCGCGGGATGGCCGAGTCGGGCGGGGGCTCGGCCAATTGCCGCTGCCGCGCGGGCGTGGCGCCGCTCCCAGCAGCCGGCCCAGCCCCGGCGGCCTCGGCGGCGCGCCTGGCGTCACGGGCCAGATCGTTGCGGTCGACGCCTCGTCGCACAGGCCTCTGCGGCGCTTCCTGGGCGAGGTGGTGGTTTTTCGGAGCACCACAGTCTGCAGGACAGGCTCGGGGAGTTGCAAGACCAGGTGCGCCACCTGGGCTACCGTGGGCTTCAGGCGCCCGCCGCGCCATCGAGCAGTTGCAAGGGCTTCTCGGGCGGGGTGGGCATTGCCACCAAGACCTACATCGCCGTGAGAGCGCCTACGGGATTGGCGTCCCAGTCGTGGAGAGGCAGGACCTGTGCTGCCCATGTTCACTGGGTCGTGCCAGGCGACCTGGTCGCGTTGTCAATCTACTTCCTCACGAGCACGGGGGTGGGGGCCGTCAGCCAGCGCTTTCTGGCTCGGTTCTGCCAGGGCATCGCGGCGGTGGCGGCACACGGCTACGATTGGGTGGTGGTTGGCGATTTTAACATGGAGTCGAGCACGCTGGGGTTCGACTGAGCGTATGCCTTGAAGGACATCGTCCTCGCGCCGCTGGACTCCACGTTCGGTTAGGGGGCGAGCTCCACCTGCATTGACTTCTTTGAGTGCTCGACCAACATGGCCACCCGCGTAGGGCGGCCGCAGGTCTGCGAGGACTCCAACTTGGCGCCCCACCTGCCCGCGGTGCTCCCTTTCCCGGCGCAGGACCGCGACGTCTGGCTGCGCGTGCTGGACGAGCCTGGACGGCTGCCAGCGCTGCCGAGGCCAGGCTGCGGCCGCCCACCAGGGCCCTGACATGTCGTTCAAGAGGTGGTCCAGGCGGCCTCGGACGACGCCTCCCTCCAGACTGCCCGGGACACCGTGCTGGCGGGGCTGGGGGCCGAGCTGCTGGGCCGCGTCGACGGAGCCGGCGACAAGTTTCGCAAGTGCAGTGGCCGCGCGGGTGACGTTGGTTTCAGGCGGGCAGGGGTGCGCTGGGTCCCGCCGGAGGTGCGCGGGGGCGTCGACGCTGCCGCGCAGGCCTGGGCTTGCGCGGCGCGTCGGGCCAAGCGCCTCCTGGCCGCTCGGGCCTCCCCCCAAAAACGCTTTCGGGAGGCGGAGGGGCCGGGCGCGGTCGCGCAGCGCCTGGAGGTGGTCGGGGCGCCAAAAGAACTCGGGCGTGTCTTTCGCAAGATCCTCCGCCCCGAGCAGCTCCGGCACCTGGGTGCGCGGGCCGTCCGCTTCTTCTCGGGGCGCGGGCAGGCGCTGGTCGGGAGAGCGCCATCGAGGCCGCGGTGTGTGCCACAGTCGAGAAGACCGACGGTCTCGAGGCCAAGGCCAGGTCGGCCAACCAGGCCGAGTGGGTCGACTGGGCAGATGATGCCTTTCTTCATGGGGCTCGCGGCACGCATGGGGCTTCCAGTGCCAAGGCAGGTGATGGACGCCAGGTTCGACGCATGCTCCTCAGCCTTGGCGCAGGAATCAATGAAGGAGAGGAAGGACATCTGAAAGGCGAACGAGTTGAAGCCGTTGCAGACGCCTTTCGGACGCGAGCTCTTGGGATGACCTTCCAGCGTCTTAATGGCGTAGTTCAGGGGTGCGCTTTCGACCTCTTGGTCCACGGCCTCGTGGCAGCTGCATATCTCGCCTCGGACCTTTTCTTTCCTGCCGGACGTGGCGTTGGAACCTGATAGCGTTGTTTCGCCGCTGTGAGATCATGCTGCAGTGGCCCTCCCAGCGCATCCTCAACGAGGTGGTCCTTCTTTCCGGAGAGGGTGGCGGTTGTTGCGTGATCGCGTTGGTGCAGTCCTTGGTGCGGGTCTGGGATCGCATGCGCAAGGATTTGTCGGCTATGTGGCTTGCGGATCCCAGTCCGCTCATGTCTGGCACCGCGGGTGCGAGCTCGGATTCAGCTCCCCGCCGCAACCTGCGTGCCGAGACGGAAATGCTGTTGGGTGGCCACTTGGTACCAGTCCTCAAAGACGCCGACACGTGCTTCGAGCTGGTGAAGCCAGCAACGCTGCCTGCCGAGGAGAGGGCCCTCCGCTTTGCACTGCGCGCTTGCCGTGAGCGCTGCTGTCTTATTTTTCGGAGCCTCGGTTTCTGCGTGACTGCGGCTGTTTCAACGCGACCTACGGCCCTTGGCAGAGGGGTGTTT